TTTTTCAGGTAGTTGTGAAATATCCATACACCATTTGAGACTAAAATGTAAAGTCTGATTTAGAGTTCTGTAGATTTTGTTCTGTTGTCAGAAGTATCATTTCATGGTTACATCCATTATTCTACACTACTATATTTTTTTAAAATTATGTATTTTTAATAGCTCTTCCCCAGGTTGCTAACATGATGAGACATTGTTAAAACTGAAAGAACTTTTAAACTCTGATTTCCACTCCATCATTGCTATATCTCTTCCTCCCCCCCCCCACCCCACCCCGGTATTTTACTCGGGCAGTGAAACCAGTTTAGTCAGTTCCCTGATCTTCTGTCTCCATCCCTCATGTCAATTTGTCATTTATAGTAACTTTCATTTTCTGGTTCTCATATGCTAGCCCTGATCTATGACATTGAGGTTGCAAACACACCAGGATAAAATTGAAATTGCAGAATATTTAATTTCTCCTATAAATAGTCTTAGTAAAACATTTTATTGTGGATCTAAACAGGCAACCTAAATTACCTGACAAAGTTGCGTTATCTGTAGTAATATTTAAAATTAGGTTTGTGTAAGCATGTCTCTTTAAGGTTTAAATTCAGAACTACATGGGACTCTGGAAATCCTTACGTTTACGTAGGCAGAAAGGCTCCTATTCTCTGGAGATTTTAACGTTTCAAATGAGTAAAATCAAAGCTTGCCTGGAGGTTCAATATTTAAGTACCTTGATGTTTTAGCCATCTGTAATAGAAACTGGATTGGAGTTGGTTTGTCTCTGCTCTGGAACTAATTTTTATACCACAGCAGCTGGCTTCTGGAATACTGTGCACCCAAACCAGCATGTATTAAGTACAAAATTTGCTTTCTGATGTCAACCTTTATCTTTCATGTTGTGAAAGAATGTACAGTTTTTGCAGCATGTCAGCCTAAAGGGCAAGTACTTGTTACAAACTTTAATCCAAGCCATACTGCTTGTTGTCATAACAGATTATCTTCCAACTCTCAAAATCATCAAGGCAAACTTGATATCACTTCTCCCATGTTAGACAAATCAGCTGGTTAACAGTCAGTTTGCCAACCACAGGATGATATAAGTATATTCTCTTTAAAACATTTATCTTCAGAGCTTCCTTGGGAAGCTAGCCTGGAGTATTTCCCTGGCCCTAGTAAGGCTGTTGTGGCAATTTGATATTGGTCTGTTCCTCAGTGACATTGAGGCACTTGTTCAGTGACACTATTCAAGCTTGTGAAACTTTTTTCAGCCCCCAGTGGGTTTTGAGTTTTTCCTGTTTGGGGCTTTTTCATTTCTTCTAGCATCTATATCACATGAATATAACACGTACTCAGAAGTTTGGTTTTTCCCCCCCATACTAAAACATTAGCCTCTAACTAATATTCAACACATTTGATATAATGGTCAGCAAGGACTTAATGATCTCCAGTTTACGTTGCAGATGGGACAGCTGTAGAGATACTGTCCATCTGTTTGTGCTTAACTGCTCTGAAAATGAGTGCTCTTGCTTTGGTTTCTGCTGACAGGGAGGAAGGAAGGAAAAGCTGCCCCCACCCAATGCAAAGTTGGTTTCAGTTGAATGAGATCTCATCTGTCAGTTCTCCAGCTCAAGCCTAATATAGAGAAATGTGTGCTGTGGCTTTTCCCCCACTGGTGAAGTTATCTAAGATAAGATCTGATGCTGCTTATGGAACTAGGTTGCTCTTAAAGTTCTACTTGAAATCAACTTTTGGGTTTATTTTAAGATGGGTGAACTTGAGTGCATTATTAAATGAGGATATTCAGGAGCGCCGCCAGCTTTTCTGCCGCCCTAGGCGGCGGAAGGTCCCGCCCCGAAATGCCGCCCCCCCACAGAGGCAGTGGAAGGTCCCACTGCCGAAATACTGCTGCGGTCGCCGCCCCTCAAATTGTAGTGCCCTAGGCGACCGTCTAGGTCACCTAATGGGTTGCGCCGGCCCTGAGGATATTGATATAACAGGCACCACAGAAACTTGCTGGAATGATGATCATCAATGGAACACAGTAATACTAGGGTATAAAATATATAGGAATGACAGAGTAGGTCACACTAGTGGGGCAGTGGCACTATATGTGAAAGAAAGCATAGTCAAATATAGTAAAAATCTTAACTGAATCAAACACAGAATCTCTATGGGTAGAAATTCTGTGCTTGAATCAGAGTATAGCAGTAGCAATATATTACTGACCACCTGACCAGGATGGTGACCATGATTGTGAAATGTTTAGAGACTAGAGAAGCTAAAAAATCAGAAAACCAATAATAATGGATTTCAGCTATCCCCATATTGACTGGGAACGTGTCACGTCAGGATTGGGATACAGAGATAAAATTTCTAGACATCATTAATGACTACTTCTTGTAGCAGCTAGTCCTGGAACCCACAAGGAGAGAAGCAATTCTTGATTTAGTCCTAAGTGGTGCACAGGATCCGGTCCAAGAGGTGAATGTAGTTGAGCCACTTGGTAATAGCAACCATAAATGTAATTATATTTAACATCCTTGGGGAAAATACCAAAGAAACCCACTACAATAGCATTTAACTTCAAAAGGGGGAACACAAAAGTGAGGAGGCTAGTTAAATGGAATTTAAAGGGAACAGTCACCAGAGTGAAATGCCTTTAAGCTGCATGGAACCTTTTAAAAAACACTGTAATAGAGGCTCAAACTATATGTATACCCCAAATAAAAGAGAAAACAGGAAGGAGCGCAAAAAAAGCCACCTTGGCTAAACAACCGAGTAAAAAAGGTGGTTAGAGATAAACTGACCTCTTTTAAAAATTGGAAGTCCGATATGACTGAGGAAAATAGAAAGGAATCATACAATCGTGCGCCTGGAAGGGACCTTAAGAGGTCATCTAGTTCAGTCCCGTGCACTCATGGCAGGAGTAACGAACGTGCACTCTGGCAAGTCAAATGTAAAGTATAATTAGGCAGGCCAAAAAAGAATTTGAGGTGCAACTAGCAAAACACACAAATCAACAGCAAATTTTATGTACATCAGAAGCAGGAAACCTGCCAAACAATCAGTGGGACCACTCAACGATTGAAATGCTAAAGGAGCACTCAAGGAAGACCAGGCCATTGCAGAGAAGCTCAGTGAATTCTTTGCATTGCTATTCACTGCAGAGGATGTGAGTGAGATACCCCACCTGAGCCATTCTTTTTAGGTGACAAATCTGAGGAGCTGTCCCAGCTTGAGGTATCAGTAGATGAGGTTTTGGAACAAATTGATAAATTAAACAGTAATAAGTCACCAGGACCAGATGGCATTCACCCAACAGTTCTGAAGGAACTCAGATACGAAATTTGCAGAACTACTAACTGTGGTATGTAACCTATTGCTTAAATCAGCCTCTGTACCAGATGACAGGAAGATAGCTAATGTAATGTTGATCTTTTTTTTTTTTTTTTTTTTTTTTTAAGTATCCAGAAGCGATCCTGGAGATTATAGGCTGGTAAACTGAATTTCTGTACTGTCGTTTCTACAAATTTGCCTGGTACTGAACACAGTTATCAGACGCTTAGATGAACACAGTATGTTGGGGAAGAATCAACATGGCTTTTGTAAAGGGAAATCATGCTTCACTAATCTATTAGAATTCTTTGAGGGGGTCAACAAACTTGTGGACAAGGGTGATCTAGTGGATATAGTGTACTTAAACTTTCAGAAAGCCCAATGTCCCTTCCCAAAGGCTATTGAGCAATGTAGGCAGTGTGGGATAAGAGGGAAGGTCCTCTTGTGGATCAGCAACTGGTTCAAAGATAGGATAGGAATAAATGGTCAGTTTTCACAGTGGAGAGGAGTAAATAGCAGGATCCCCAAGGATCTGTATTGGGGCCAATGCTGTTCAACATATTCATAAATTATGTATAAAAAAGGGGTAAACAGTGAATTGGCAAAGTTTGCAGATGAGATGAAATTACTCAAGATAGTTAAGTCCAAAGCTGACTGAGAAGAGTTAACCAGTTTTGTGAGATCCCTTTGTATCTGTGGCAAAATGGCAAATGAAATTCACTGTTGATAAAGCAAAGTAATGCACATTGGTAAACATAACCCCAACTATAAATACAAAGTGACAGGGTCTACATTAGCTGTTACCACTCAAGAAAGAGATCTTAGAGTCATAGTGGATAGTTCTCTGAAAACATCTGCTCAATGTTCAGTAGTTATCAAAAAAGCTAACAATTTAGGAACCATTAGGAAAGGAATAGATAAGACAGAATATCATAATGCCACTATATAAATTCATGGTACACCTTGAATACTGGTTGTCCCATCTCAAAAATGATATTAGAGTTGGAAAAAGAACAGAGAAAAGCAACAAAATTTATTAGGGGTATGGAACAGCTTCCATATGAGAAAAGATTAAAAAGACCAGGACTGTTCATCTTAAAAAAGAGACTAAGAGGCAATATGATAGAGGTCTGTACAATCATGAATGGTGTGAATAAGGAAGTGTTATTTAACCCTTCACATAACACATGAACTAGGGGTCACCCAATAAAATTATTGGGCAGCAGGTTTAAAACAAACATAAGGGAATATTTCACACAACGTACAGTCAACCTGTGGAACTTGCTGCTGGGGATGTTGTGAAGGCCTAAACTATAACTGGGTTCAAAAAAGAATTAAATAAGTTCATGGAGGATAGGTCCATCAATGTTTATTAGCCAAGACAGTCAGGGAGGCAACCCCATGCTTTGGATGTCCCTAAACTTCTGACTGCCAGAAGCTGGGACTGGATGACAAGGGGTAGGTTACTTGATTAATTCCCATGTTCTGCTCATTCCCTTTGAATCATCTGACACTGGCCACTGTCAGAAGACAGGATACTGGGCTAGATGGACCATTGATCTGATCCAGTATGGCCATTCTTATGTTATTCCCAAAAACTCTCAGTAAAGTCTATAGATGATTAGTGCCCTATAAAAGGTTTTATGACATACCATCTTCTTCCATCTCGTTTGTAGTGTGTGCTGTATTTATGGAGTTTAAAGATAAATCATCCCAAAACGCTGTTCCTGCTTCGAGGGAACCATGAGTGCAGGCACCTCACAGAATACTTCACCTTTAAACAGGAATGTAAGTATACCCAGTTCTCCTCAGTAATGACATAGATGCACTAGCATCTGGCCAGGTCAGGGCTCTCGGTCCTCTATTGGCCCTGTCTTGGATGGCCTAGCTGGCTTTGGCAAATGTATCTGCACTTAGCTGTCCTCTCATTTCCAGTATTCTAGCACACTGCTTTAAATGCTGTTCAGTATTTTGGGTTGAACCAATCCTATGGAGTGCTGAACATACGCTAAAGTAGCATTTGAGTTCTCTTGGTAAAAGGAATATGAATGCAGATAAAAGGAGTGCAAGCCCATCTCCTGTGTTACTGACAAATGGTTGCATGCAAAGTCCCCTCCTTCTCCCCAGTTTCTAGACCCAGCACCCTATAATTACTGCCAAGTGACTTTCAGTTCAGTTTGTGCAGCTGGAATTGGTGATTACAGCTGGAAGAAAATAAAGGACTCTTCCTAGTGTTTGTACTGGGCGAATCATTACCTCTAAGATAATTTTATTTTAGTTAAATATAGTATTTATAACTTTTTAAAGTATGTGAAACTAGTGCTGGTGAAAGGTCAAGTGGCATGCCAGCACTGGAGACTGAAATCCTCTCTCCACACAACAAGCATAGCAGAGGCAGCAGTCACTTCGACCCTGACCTGAAAGAGTCGTCTCTAGAGGACAGATAGTAGTTCAGTTCTGTAGCTCAGCTGGCTGTCAGAGGGGTAAAGTGTGACAGGAATCTACCTGTTTGTTCAGAAATGAGCTGAGAGGCATCAGCTTGCTTCATGCTGAATACTGAAAAGCCATCTGATGATGGTCATTATTTCTCTCTACTGAGCTGGGCTGGATTTGAGCCAGTGATCTAGAGGTTAAAGGTTCTGTATTCTGTTCCCAGGATCCCCTGTTGAAAAGCATAATAAACAAAAACTGCCTTTTCTCTTCCTGTACATAAATGTTTCACTACAGAAGCCTTTTTGAGCCACAGAAATAAGGGAGGGAGAAAATGAAAAATTCAGTAATATCACCCTTTCCTTGTAGATGAAGGTCAATCTTACAGTAACAGTAAGATTTTTTCCAAGACATGGTTGTGATAAAACATCACCATCTAAGATGGCTGCCAGACATGAGACCATGTGTACTTTGATGTGGTGATCTCCTAATGTGACTACTTGGTGTTGTAGGGTCTTACTACTTCAATAGCATCTGACGGGGGACGTTTCTGAATCTATCTGGCAGCTGGTTGTGAAAACTTAGTTTCTGCTTTTAGGAAACCCATATCACTTCTGTGACACTTACTGAAAACCTTCCTAGCCTATCTGTTAAAACAAGCAGCAAACGATATCAGATTGCAGAGCATTAATGGTTAAGCCAGCAGGTGTCTAGACATACTGCTGCTTAGAACAGCACCTCCTGTTGTATCCATAAAAAGAAATCTAAAACATTGGCTTTTAGAATGCATTTTAATGTGGAGACTGCGGGATGTAACTTTTTTTTTTAAGCCCTTTGGGCCAACTCAGCACGCTAAATAAGAAAACTTGTTCTCAGTGGCTTCTTTTGGGGGAATCAGATCATTTTGTGTTCTAATCTGTTCAGGTCTCAGGCAGAAAAGGTTGGGTCAGGTCAATACTCAGATAGGAGCCCTTGAAATAACACAAGTTGCAGGGAATGGTGCTGAAAGTGCACTGAAGGGCTCTCTTCTCTCTGAATCAGTAATGAACTAGTGCCTCAGCATGGTGAGAGAACTGCTACTAGTTGATTGTATCTCTGACATCAGGCTGAGGCATAAAGCTGAGAACCTGACCATATGTGGACATTAAAGATTATATGCTATTTTTTGTAAGACTTGGTGTGTTAACCCCTGGTAGCCTGGTCAAATTCTAGCTCCTTAGCCTCCCTGAGCCTCCCTTGAAGCACTCATATCCAACCGAAACCACAATTCCTTATCTAAACTGTTATTGGTTGTGCCAAGTTAAACAGCTGTTGCAGTTCCTAGTGTATAGTCTGCATAGTAGTTGAAGCTTGTAAGATTCTTTGGGGTCCTTTGAGATGAAAGGTGCAATATGAATGTAAGATATTTACATGATTTTATTAGTAAACCAAGTTCTTTCTAACCCTTGGCAATGCTGAGGCGCCTCTTCCAGGAAGTTCTTGCTATGGAAGTTAACATGCACTAGGATAAGTTAATTTCTGAGCTTGAGGGGAGAAGATTAAAGTAAAAGTTCCTGACTGGGGCCACATTGGAAGCCTTTTGACTTTCAGGGTCATTAAGTATTTTCTAAGACTGCTCCATTAATGTGCTAGAGGAAAGCTTTGCTTAGAATGTCATAGGTGTAGACTGTTTCTGTTTCACCTTCTACATTAGCTTCCTCTGACAATGCTACAGATCAGTATGTTAGTCTGAATGCATGAATGGTCTGGAATCTTTTCATCCAACTTGATCAACTCACATTGGGTAGAAGATAAACCATCTTCTCTCTCTCTCCTGCCTGCTCTCCCCGTTAGGTCGAATCAAATATTCGGAGCGAGTGTATGATGCATGTATGGATACATTTGACTGTCTTCCTCTTGCCGCCCTCCTAAACCAGCAGTTCCTGTGCGTCCATGGAGGACTGTCTCCAGAAATCACATGTCTAGATGACATTAGGAAAGTAAGTAATCTCACTCGTCATTCACACTGACATTTTTATTGCGCACTTGTATTACTAGGGTTCCATTTTAGTTGCATACTCACACAACCCATCTCTGGTGGACATGAGAGTTATCGCTTCCTCTGGAATCTTGGATTGTTGAAGTTTGGTCTTAATAGGGCTTTCTTTGATCCCTTTACTGAAAGGGTTTGACTGCAGTTTAAGCATCAGGTTTGATACCCTCCTGGGAACCCAAGATCCCAGCAGGAACATAACAGCTTTTTTTTGTTCCGAGGTAAAGAAATTGAGTTCCAAGCAGTTCAGTGTGCGTGGGCCTTTTGGACAATATGTTAAAAAGCCAAAGCCCTATCAGTTGCGTGGACAGTACAGCTCCTTAGTCCTTATTATGGAGCATTCTGTGCATTGGTTAACAGCCTTTGCATCCCACAGGTGGCTGCTGTAGTTTGATGTTCTTTGTCGAAAAACATGCTATGCACGTTTGCTATTCCTCCATTTTATCTGCTGTTTCTGATACTCCCCCATGTATCTTGAGACCGCAGCATGCTCTGTAGTTCTGCAGCACAGCTCAAGCTACTTTGAGTGTTTGAGGGTAATGGATCACACACTTTCCTTCCTCTCTCCCACCTCATCCTTAATTCTCTCATGCAGCCAGAGCTGGTTGGTTGCAAGGGCCTGACAGATTGTCCCAAGTTGGGCCTTCCGTCAGCAAAACTCCAGGCTAATTTAAAGGCCTTTGGGTTGGTTACTAAGACTTGGTTCCTGCTCTTCTTCCTGAATTGCTACCTGGTAGCGTGTCATTGACATAGTTTGCATTTTTAAGTCTGCAGTATGTTTTTCATTATTATATAGAATTTACTTTTTCTGCCGCTATGTAACAGGTTAATAACATCCTTGATGCTGACTGCATTGAATTTCTGTAGACACTGAGTGTAGGTTCTCTAGTGGTTATACCAGGGAGCTTCAAGTCAGATAGTATATGTCGGTTCTCCCACAGTGAAGATTTCTTCTGAATGTTTTGAGGGAGAAGAGAAAGCAGGCAGGGGCAGAAAGCCAGGCAACTCATGAGCATCCAAGTGGTGACCAGATGGCTGCCACTCAGACCTTGCTCCCCAAGAGATGGAAAAAGAGAAGGGAGGAAGCTCAGAGCTGTTGAGTAGACTCAGTTTTGGTCTCAGTAAGAGAGGAGGTGTCCAAAGCTCTAATCCTAATTCATTCGAACTAGCCCATCTCCAGAGCTCTTCTGCCTAGAAGCATGTACCCCTTGGTTACAAAGCCACTTGACCTCCACAATGGTCCTCATTTTGTGTGCACCTTCCAGTTAGACAGGTTTAAAGAGCCTCCAGCCTTTGGTCCGATGTGTGACCTACTCTGGTCTGATCCATCAGAGGATTACGGCAATGAGAAGACGCTAGAGCATTTCACTCACAACACTGTTCGAGGTTGCTCCTATTTCTACAGGTAAGCAGAGTTTCAGTGGGGCTCAGATAAACTATGGCTTCTGACTTGCCCTGGGTAGTGTTTAAAAGCGAATGGAGAGGGAGTGAAATCCAATTGTTGTGTTAAATGCCCCTACTTACCAGGTTCTTGGGCTGTCTGTGTAAGCACAGAAATGCATGAACTTGCATTAAAGCTGTTTTTCCCCTATGGGAGAGCTACTTGGGTGGTACCTGACTCCCTGAAGCTGCCCCAGGATACATCACTCGATGAAATCGCAAGTATCTAAGGTTGTAATGAGACTTCTGGTACCTGTTATGGTGCTTTTGGAGATAATTTCAGGGACCAGAAGGTATCAAGGGGATTTTAGAAGGAAAGAAATAATTTTAAAAGATAATTTTCTATACTTGACTCCTTGCAACCTGCCTGGTTGGGATTTAGCGTAGGAATCCAGACTGACTATTGTTTCCAATGTGCTTTGTGATTAATCTTTAAAAGATGGCACTGTACATAGATGTGGCCTTATTTCAGAGGTGCTGGGCGCTTGCAGCTTTCATTGGCTTTGAAGGGTATGACTACACTGCAGCTGGGAGTGAGCTTCCCCGCCTGGGTAGACAGACTTGGGACTGCAGGACTCTAGCTAGCATGCTAAAAATAGCATTGGGAATGTTGCTGCACTGGCTGAGGCTCACGCTAGCCACCTAAGCTTGAAGCCAGAGGAGCAGGTGGGTCTGAGCTCGGCGGCTAGTGCAAGCCTCTGCTGGTGTAGTAACATCCACACTACTGTTTTTTAGCACGCTAGCTTGAGCCATGCCAGCATCAGTCTGCCAGCCAGGGTTGGGGGCTCACTCCCAGCTGTAGGGTAGACCTAGCCAAAGATGCTCAGCACATCTGAAATCAGCCCACAACTGTGTGCAGTGCTATCATTTAAAGATTAATTGCAAAGCTCACGAGATCATTAACGCTCTGTGTTCTCATTTCTCCTGCCTCCCCAGAGGAGGGAGGATTTTTGTCTTTGCTACCTACTAATGTATTTAAAACTCTTCTCTTTAGTTACCCTGCAGTCTGTGAATTTTTGCAAAACAATAGTTTGTTATCTGTAATCCGAGCTCATGAAGCCCAGGATGCCGGGTAAGTGCTGCAGTGCTAGGACTGTGCAAGAATGTTTTTTCAGTTTTTCTACCCTTAGCAAGACCAGAATGCTAACACCATGCCCTGCCTTCTAGGTACCGAATGTACAGGAAGAGCCAGACAACAGGCTTTCCATCGCTAATCACGATCTTCTCTGCACCAAATTACCTAGATGTGTATAACAACAAGGGTAAGGCTGGCAAGGCCATGTCTCTGCAGTTGTTTTGGATGCCAGTGCTGTTTGAATATTAACCCTTAGGAAACCCCTCTCCAATTTCCTCCTCCTGTTTTGTTAGCAGTAGCCCCAGTTCACTCCATCCTTCTCATTTCAATGAAACCTCTTCCACTTCCCTAGGTGTGTGCACAGCCTGTGAGCCAGAACATGCTAGCCACTGAGCCAACTGCATCATGCTAGCTGCTGTGTGCTGCTACCCCTCTCTTCCAGCCTGGCCTGACCTGCTGATATGATTCTACTCCCACTCATCTGGTTCTCAGCTTTCAGGGGGAGGTGGGTGTCTGGGAAGTGACAACTGGGGAAGACGGTGGAACAGCTCAAAACAGGCTCCTCAAGATCCCTGAAGTTAGTATTACCTTTTATCTGCCACAGTGGTCTGATGGAATCCTAAGAAAACATCTCATCTTCAGTGTGGTGTGTGCCTGGGATAAGCTAGTGTTGAATCCAAAAGAGCTTCATTAAGTGTCAGTTTGACAAAAGCCTGTAAACTCATAGTGAAGATTGCCACTCTGTGTATGACTTGACCCTATCCCAACCCATGTGTTGCAGCACCAGTGCACAAAGGAATAAATAAACCATGGAGTTAGTAGCTTTGGTTCTGAATTTCTTTCCTTTAGTCAGTTCAACTTAGATACTTCAGCATCACATTATTTTCCTTTTTTGGATGGTGGCACTGAATGAAAAGTAGCTCTGCTATTAGCTTTGCAGCTGCATTGAGATTGGCAGCAGATTGTTGTGGCATTGCTTACTGAAGTCACGCACTGTTTCACTGACATCATCAGGTCAGTGGGTCCACAGGACACACTATAGCTAGAAGCGTTTGACATATGTAAACACAAAGGAGAAGGAAGAAGAAAATTGTTCAGAATAGTCCATGGTGGTTATAAATACAAATAATGGGATGAAAGTGAGCAAAGGTAAAATTTAGGCTGAGAGCAGGAACTCTTTCCTAAGAGCCTGATCTGGAGGGCAGAGGAATAGTCTTGAAGAGGAGTTTGTGGCAATCAGTTACTCTGGACACAGCCCTAGTGTATGCTTCAGAGGGAACAATCTTAAACTGCTTGGCCAAGAGTACTTAATAGGCCTTCACCTCTGATTCTGATATCTGTGGGAATGTCATCTTATATCATGTCATCAGGGGCCCTTAAATTAATATTGACATGCATTGGGAAAAGGAGCATTGCTGTGAAATTAGAACCACACTGAGGACTAAAAGCAGCTGCGAATCTTGTTTCTAAAACTAAAAGCTAAAGCATTTTTTTTTTTTGTCTAAACTGGACTAAGTAGCAAACTTAAACAAGACCCCTTCTTTCGCACTCTGAGCCAGAAATGGCTTTAACTGATTATTAAAGTGTCCCCCTCTAAGATGACAGTTTGCATGCTGTTACAACTAAACTGTCAAGTTATAAGCCCTGGGGGAATGACATACATGCCGGTAATGGCAACTCACCAGTAATAGTGACTACGCCGCTGTAACATGCAGTTGCTGTCCATGTTCATAAACTTTAACCCTTCTGATATTAAATAAGGAGTGAGGGAAACTTTCCACTTATCTTTCTAACCTTAACTTAGGACCAAGAGTTTCTAGTTCATGGTTTCTTTGAGGTGACCGTTTGAAGCTTCTGAGCAGAGTGTACTTTTTCTTTAGAGTCTCATTATATTGTCCTGAGGAGCTATTTGGAAGATGAGCTATTGTGAAATGTCTAAAACTTCATGCCCTGTAGTTGATAAACTGAAAATACCACTTAAGCCTCTTAATTCTAGATAAGTAGTAGTTTGGTGCTGCACAAATTGAACTAGTTGTCATTGTGTGATCACTAATGCTCAGTGCTGAACGAACCTAGAGGGAGACAGTCTTTGCGCCTCAGAGCTCACCGTGCCTGCATATACACATTCTCTCTCTCTATTCTTTTTTAGCTGCTGTGCTGAAATATGAAAACAATGTCATGAACATCAGACAGTTCAACTGTTCTCCACACCCCTACTGGCTTCCAAACTTCATGGATGTCTTCACATGGTCTTTACCTTTTGTAGGGGAAAAGGGTAAGAAATAAAGCATTCAGATTTCTGTTTGGCCTAAACAGTGACCGATCAGAGCACTGTATGTGTTAACATCCCCCTGAGGGTAACTAAATATCTGTAAATATCAAATCAGGGGATTATCTAGGAAGTTTTAAATATGTGATACAGCTTGGCAGTGTAAAATGGCATTGATAAGTAGTTCAGACTTACCATGACCTATTGTACAGTAGTAGAACTCTGATGGCTAAAGTTCCCCAGATTTTAAGTTTCTTTGGCAAAGAAGGTCTGCTTTGCCATTACCAAGAAGTTAAATAAAATGGTCCCCATTTCACAATATTTTTGTACTGTAAATAAATAAATAAAATAAATTAATAGATATCCTATATCCTAGACCTGGAAGGGACCTTGAAAGGTCATCAAGTCTAGCCCCCTGCCTTCACTAGCAGGACCAAGTACTGATTTTTGCCCCAGATCGCTAAGGGGCCCCCTCAAGGATTGAACTCATAACCCTGGGTTTAGCAGGCCAATGCTCAAACCACTGAGCTATCCCTCCCCCCTGATTATCTGTGAACCAGCCCTGATTACCTGTGAACCAGCCTTGATTAGGTAATTCCCCCAACTGTGCTGACATCTTCCATGCTACATAAAGAAAGAGATAAATATCATGTAGATGTGTGGCCTATCAGAAAGAGCATTCACCACAGTCAGGGAGAGGTTTTGATTTCAGTTTTAATAAGGTACAGCTGCCTAAAAAACCCCAAATTTTGCCAAAATTCCAGCTTCTTAACAAAGGAGCGCTGTCCTCTCCCAACTAGTCTAGATTTTCATTCAGGGCTTTAGGTTTTGGGGATAGCTTAAAGGTCTAAAATGTTTACTCTGTGGAACCAAAGGTTGAAATCCCAGAAGAGCCAACATTCCCTGAAACAGATGGCGTATTATGCAGTTTTTGTGGGGTGGGGGGAGTGAAGGGAGATTGGGAAGGGACCTTAACTGAGACCCAATCTCTTCTGCATGAACACTATGGATACCCCACTCCCTGATCAGTTCCCATGCAGTTGTGCAGCATTCTGTGCAGTGCTCAGATTGCACCCACCTCTGTGACAGAGGGTCTCAAGTATCTAATCCAACGTGTTTTGGGATCCTTTGCAATAAAAAATGCTGCAGAATGTAGCTATAAAATATCTTTGGGCTCCCTCTTCAGATGTGTAAATGACTGATATCATTTGGTTCAATCCGGCTCACCCTCCTCCCTTGAGCAGTGTGAGCGCCAGCCCCCTCTAATCTTTCTACCTATTTGTCACTACTTCTTGCAGTCACAGAGATGCTGGTCAACATCCTCAACATCTGCTCTGATGATGAGTTGATTTCAGATGGTGATGAAACTTTGGAAGGTAACAACCTTTATTACAAGTTGGGCTGTTAACAGTGGTGAGGTAATAGTTTAAAGCTAAATTCAGAGAGATTGGAATCCACTTTAGAACCAAATACCAAACTTTGTCCCCTTGCAATCTAGTGACAGTGAAGTGCATAGGGTTGTACTTATTTGTGCCACTAGATCAGGGGTTGGCAACCTACGGCACGCGTACCAAACATGTCACGTGAGCCGATTTTGAGTGGCACGCAACTCCCTGCGGTGGTCCCGGCCCTCAGCCCTCCCGCCCACTGCTCTTCCCTGCGGGGGCAGGAGGCAGAAGCTTGGTTCCGCGGCAGCCAAGCTTCCCCCCTCCCCCGCTTCTTCCCCCAGTGTGGTGCTTTCCTGCCCCGCATCCTTTCTGTCCCTGGCCAATCAGCTGATGGCCCTAGCGAGGGGGCGGGGGAAGAGCGGCAGCGTCCACAACGCTCCATAGAGGAGGCAGAGAGAGGTAGGGACAGAGCCTGGGGGAAGGGAGTGGAACAGGGCATATCCTTTCCAGCCCCCTGCCATGAGCCGCTCGGGGTAGGGGGCTGGGAGCACCCCCACAAGCCGAGTACCCCAGCCCTCTGCCCTGCACCCCCCACACCCTCCAGCCCTCTGCCCTGAACCACCCCCACCCCAACACACACCCAGCCCTCTGCCCTGAACCCCCCATACCCCAACACACACTCAGCTTTCTGCCCTGCACCTCCACACACCCAGCCCTCTGCCCTGCACCCCCACAGCCTCCAGCCCTCTGCCCTGAACCCCCCATACCCCAACACACACTCAGCTTTCTGCCC